CTAACACCTCACATTATGGATTGCACATCTGACAATGGCCCCACAAGATTATCTACTGACATTGTAGTTAGCTTGGTTATATTAAGTTAAACTTTTCAACAATGCATTTTTCAAGATGGTTATTTTCACTAATGGATATGTGACTGCCTTTAAAAATTTTTTTATTGATGCATGATTTATTATTTTCACTAGGTCTTACATAGCACTGTGATTTTGTGACTATTACCACACAAACCTTGGTGGATTCTGTATGTACGGGTTTCATGTTGCTTAAGAGCAAAGATTATATCTTTTTTTTTCTTTTCTTTATTATTCCGAAGAGAGGCAATTTTTAACACATTTTTCCAGAAATAACTTGAGATACACACACACACACACACACACACACACACACACACAAACACATACACAGAATGAAGTTTAAGGGGGTAAAATCAGGAATAAGAAATAAAAGACCAAAGGATTTGCCCACATGTGTCAACTTTGGTGAAATAATAAGGGTTTCCATTAGCTCTGTTCTTTTTTTTGGGGGGGGGGAATCCTAACAGGTTTATTGGGCTTGCTAACAGAGCATAGGGTGGGGGTTTATTTACAGAAGAGTGGGTACCCCCCATTTACAGTTGTGCTGGAAAGTTCACACTCAAATATAGATCCTGTCACTTCCTGACAGCCACACAAAATGGCAAGAGAGGTGCCTCATGGTGTTCAGCTTATATATCCTTAGCCCCTCCCTCACATGCAGCTAAGGTAGACTGATTGGTTGGCTGCCTTTATTTTAACTGAAAAAATTATATATTCTAAAGGAGCCTGTATAAAAATAGTACAGACAGCTTCCACACTATGTTCACTCAGCTTCCTCCAGTAAGAGTCATATAATTATGGCACATTACTAAAACCAGGAATTCAAATATTAGTAAATTACAATTAGTATAGGATTTCTTTTTTAACATTTGAAAACCTGAGTATTGGTGCTGGATAGATGCTCAGAGGACAAGAGAGTGCATTACTCTTGCAGAGGATGAGAGTTGGGTTCCCAGTACCCCAGTACCCATCTCAGGCACTGCACAATAGCCTGTGACTCCAATTCCAAGGGATCCAATGTCTCTGGCCTCTGAGGGCACCTGTACTCCAGTGCATATACCCACGCATACACATATACATAATCAAAAATAAATTTTTAAAACTCCGAGTATTTTATATATAAAAAAGTACATGTAAGTCCTATATGTGTGTGTACATATGTGTGTGTGTGTATATATATATATATATATTATATATATATATACACATATATATATATATATCCGTGTATGTGTGTTTGTGAGTATGCATATTATAAAGCTCGATGAAAATGTATAGATCAGCATGCCCTAACAGAGCAATGCCAACCTTGTGAATTTCCATTTGAGCTGCCTTCCTAGCCCACCTCCTCAAATTTTTACAGTTGCTGGAGTTTTAGAGCATACTCTCTTTTGGGCCTAGCTCCTTTGATACAGTGACAAGAGATGTTAGGGTTAAAAGGAATGTCAAAGTTAAAATGGCAAGACTGGGAACACTGAGGAAGGTAAATTCTTGCAGCTGCATATGAGATAACCAAGCTGACCAGATAAGAGGAAGGATGGGGTACTGGGAAAACGACAAAGCCAGTGTCAGCAAGCTGGCTGGCTTCCACTCCATGAAGCTCCCCCTAAGGAACACAAGGTACCACTGCCCTTTGCATACTCTTACTTCTAATGCAGACTGAACTGTCACTAAGAAAAGCTTCTGAAAAACCTCTATGTATTCCAGGAAGGAGACCACCCAGACCTCTGCAGACAAGGAGGTAACCAAGAACAACCATGGCTTTATCTTAGTCGCTGTGATAAGAGTTAACTCTCCATAGGCAGTAGAGAAAAAAGGCCCATGCTAAAACTACAACTTATCATGTAAACATGAGAACAAAGGAAGCATAATTTAACTAATGTCTAGAAGACCCTGTCAAGGTTGAGACAGGGAAAGTTGGTGAGTTGCCATGCTGACCAAGGCTATTGGCTAGCAGACAGCCCAGGTTAGCTGCTAACAGAGTCAACACCCCTAAATAGGGCAAGCAGCCCATGTGCAGCATGTGATCATCTCCCTTGTTGGGTCAGGGGAACATGCAAAGTGTGGCACTCTCCAGTTGGCTTGGCCTACAATATTCTCAGAGAATTAGCCAATCTGAATAGAAATCGTCTCGGTCGTTCCCCAATTCCTGCCATAAGTCCTTGGAAAAGCCCCTAGACAAGCTTCTGAATAGGTTTTGTACCCTCTTGGAACCCCTCCACTCTCAGAGTTTCTCTCATGTTCCCTTAATTCTTCTTAATAAAGTTTGCTTTCCCTTTGCTGACTCCTGGGTGGTGCCAGTGTCTAATCATCAGTGTGAGACAATGAACTTGAGACACCAGCTCAGGTCGACTTTTGGTGACTTTGAGGTGCCTAACACTCTAAGTCCCTGGATCACGCACAACTGAGGTCCTATTGTTCTCAAAGATCTGTATCACTGGACTTGATCTGTAGCGTAGGTGGATGTACACCATTCCTTTTCTCTCTTTTCAAGTATTCATTCTATTACAGATGGCATTTGGGTAGCTTTCAGTTTGGGGCACTTAAGAACAGTGTTTCTAAGAATATCTGAGTACACATCTTAGTTGAGATCACATACGTATTTCTGTTGGGTACAGAATTAAACTGCTCATTCATATGGTGTTTGTGTAGCTGTAGCAAACATAGGCAGTTTTCCAAGGTGTTAACTTGCACTCCCATCGTCAACATACTAGAGGTACACAGCTCATGTCTTTCAATCTACTTATTCCAATGGATATTGAATGTATATGCTAGAAAGGAACATTACAGATGTAAGCATAAAACAGAATACTACTTTAATCAAAACAGTAAGTGTTCTCTAAAACTCTAGGGTCTGCCTAAGGTATTTTACAAAGCACTTCAATCTGAAATTGCAAAACCGATCCTCATATATAGTTGCTTGTAAGTTAATCAAAACCTTGGGTTGATGCCCTAGCTGTACATATCTGATACTACTGATACTACAAATCACTGGGGATGTTTACTATAAATACAGACTCTCGGTACAATTTTTCATAAGCACCTGAGGGTAGATCTTATCAAGTCTGGACTATATATATGAATCTTTTTAGCATTAACCTGTGTTTAAATGTGAATCAGTGTAGAAAGTAACTATGACAAGAATTTCTTGAAGTCTAAGTCCCAGAACCTTCCTGGATGTTGTTAACTTATATTATCTTAGTGTCTGGATAGACTGAGGCCCAAGTGATTTGTTGTAGGATTTTCACTAACACTACAACATCAGAGCAGGTCCTATCTGATAGACAGCCTTATTGCTATGTATCTTCTTCAAAAAAAACCTAAGTTCTACTATTCATTGGCCTCAGCAGCCTATAGTTTGAAGGGACTGTTAGTGTGCAGAGGAGAAAATAAGTGCTATGCTTAGGCCCATGCTTTGCTATTCCCTAGCTGGAAGGGCCCTTCTGGGAGGTTGTGGAACCATCAGGCAGTGGGGACTAATCAGTAAGTATTGACTGAAGTAAATCACTAGGTTCAGGCCTCTGTGTATAGTCTGGCTTCTAGCTCTGGCCTTGCTCCATGCTTCCTGGTCCTCTTTGATGTGAACAGCCTCAATCACACACTGCCACTGCTGTGTCTTCCCTGCTAGGATGGAATAAATTCCTTTGAAACTGTTAGTCAAAATAAATCTTTCCTCCCTTAAGTTGTTTCTGTCAGGCACTGTGGAACACTGACGCAAAAATGACTAACACAGGAAGTGATGCCATGACACCTGGTTCCTAAGCCAAGTGAACTCCTTTCCATCCATTCCCTTCTTCGTAAAATGTTGAATATCACCCGGCTTATACAGCAATTTGGAAGTCATATAAACGAACACAAATGAAGGAGATGAATACACAGAAGCAAATCGTAAGTCTGCTTTTCCCTCTGGACTCTGTTTTGAACCTTTTAGGTGTCTTCTGCAATTGCTCAGCTTGTAAGCTTAACAATTATTTGTAAATTTTTCTAATTGCATTTCAACATGTATAAGAGGCGTTAAAAGAAAAAAAAACCTGGTTTGTTCCACATGTTGCTTTACTTTCATTTTGATTGGTGAAAACCAGCAGTCCTGTAACTTATGGCTAAAAATGATTACAAACAATAATTTGGAAAAATGTAGTAACAAGAAGTAACTGGAGTAACAGAACACTGTAATTTTAAAGTAAAGTCAAACTCTTCCAAAACTAGAGAACACTGCTAAGGGCAATATATAATGCAGTACTAAAACCATTTGAAAAAGCTAACATTTCAATTTGGCCTTTTAGACAGCTTTCTAATATCAGCATATTAAGTAGTCAAATGGCATTTATTCTGGAGAGCAAAATGTTTCAAGTATCATATTTCATTTGTGAAAATGTATATGAAAATCATTTTTATAAAAAGAAATTTAATTCTATGTACAAAAAAAAGTTTGGATTATTTGGCTATGGAAAGCCCATTTAAATGCTACCTGCCAACTGTTACATATAAAAGGTAAGTAAGAAAGGTCAGTGCTATGAGAAGTCTCCCTGGTACTCTGTGTTTTGCTCTTTATAATCATGAAAGTGGTGAAAAACTCAGAAAACAGTAGCATTTATTCTAGGGACAGAATAGTGAGACTTTGATTGAGATGAAAAGTAAGTACATGATAGGCTGGTATCATCTGTGTGTTAGAAGTCACCATAAACATCACAAGGAACGCAGCTGCAACTAAGAAACAACCTGCCAATAATCTATGCAATGTGAGGCAAATACCTCATTTTCCTCTTCTCTAAATGTGCTGTCACTGTGTCCTACACAGCACTGAGCCTCACTCTAGACAAGGAATGCTCAGGACAGTGCTCAGCACCAGGTCTGCTCCGTAAGCTTTTTAGCAATCCTTACAAATGTCAACACAGAACCACAAACAGCAGAGAACTCACGGGGCACTGTCACGCCGTAGTGCTGCGTGTCACTGATCAACAGCTTCCTCTTCAGCTCATTCAGCCCAACCCCGACGGGACCTGGAAAACAGGGCAGCAGACAGACTGAGAACAAGAGTCTAGTCCTGCAGGTCAAGCAGAGAGGTTATTCTAGTAAGTCATCCATGTGAAAACGTAGGAGTCCCACAGTTGCTTTAAAAAAAGTTTACATGCCTTCTTTCTTTAGGAAGCTTACAATGCTTAAATGCAGCATACCCCTGAGTCACTAAGGAACTGTATATGTAACAGCCTAAAAATTGAATTGTTCTGGTAGCGATAATTTAATCTTAAATACTTTTAGACTTTGATAAAAGAGAATCGATGTGGGGCTGGAGAGATGGCTCAGCAGTTAAGTGCACTGGATGTTCTTGCAGAAGACCTGGGTTCAAATCCCAGCACCCACATGGTGGCTAGCAACCATTTGTAACTCCAGTTCCAGGGGATCTGACACCCTCTCTGTCCTTTGAGGGCACTGCACGACACGATATGGGTGCACTTACACACATGCAGGCATAGCACACATACACATAAAATAAAAATAAATTTAACAAATTTAAAAAAAGAGAATCTTAACCTTAACTTTATTTTGGATGCAAACTCAATCATGCATTTGACCTGAAAAACTGTAATCACTGACCTCTGTCAAGACCTGCTATAGTACAGAATTTCAGTAGTCTTTAAGCATCTGAAAACTGCCATAGGCCTTAGGCATTTACATCAATCAAATGCAAATGTGCTGAACACCTATGCTGAGCAGGCACAAGGCATATGCTGTGATAATGGAAGGCGATCAATGAACACCGCTTTAAAGAAAATAACTGGTTGTTTAAGAATCTGGGGCCAAAACCAAAAGCAAAGACTGGCTGCAAACATGAATCCAAAATCAGTAAGAAAGGCAAAGCCGCGCAAGCAGCACTCCTTCTTCTTGAACCTCACACTTGCTGCTGGGGTCATGTAAGGGCTGTGCAGAGCAGGGGACAGAGCATGGGCCCTCAGACCAGCCTGTTGAGCTCTGTTCTCATCCATCCTCCTCTTCCTGATAGTGGACAAGCTGAGGCCCCTGAGCACCACCAGTTGTACTCTCATTTTGAGCACTTTTCTTGGGAAGATGGAAAGAGAGCTCAGTACAGCACACAGTACAGAGCTGAGGTCCTTGACTGCTGATTCCTGTGCCCTCCTATTCTTCTAGACTATGTGGGTCAGAGGAATCCTAGAAAAAGAAAGTTTATGCCGGATAATGATGAGTTTATAGGTGGACCAAAGAGTAAGGTGGGCACTGTGAGTGGGGAGGAGTGAGGAAAAGTGAGGTGGAGGGGAGACTGTGCCTCTGTTCCCTACTGGTGCTTCCAGCCCTGACTGTGTCCCACTACTGCCTTCTACCTTTCCTCACATGGCTGCAGGAACTATTTCTCTGGCAACTTCTCTTTGTTCTCTAAGACACCATGATAGCTCAATGATATGCTGAGGTAGTACTTACAGTTAGCGTAATACTAGCAATTAAAATTCCCCTCTCCAAATCAATATGATTCCCTAGCAACAGTATAAGAAAGAAAAATAATTTATAATAACACAATATGTATATCAGTATATGCTTGCTTGGCATGATCAGAGGAAAAACGTTGAGCAAAGTCAGATGTTTGCACCTACTTCTAAGTTTAGACTTAAGAGACTGAGAAACATTCTGTACAAGCAAGTATGAAAATAAAAGCCCAGAGGGACAGGTGCACGTCAGAACAAGGACTAGCATGTGGCTACCTGAACACGGCAGTAAGTCATGGATCAGACACAGATATTCCCCTTAAAGGCTTGTATCAAAAGCTTGTATCAAAGGCTTGGATGCCAGTCAATGTGACTGGATCATGGGGGATCCAGTTTTATCACCAGCTGAGTGGTGGGGCCCAGTTGGAAGGCACACCTTGTCCTTGGAGCCTCTCAGGTTCACTTTGCTTCCTGACTTCATGAGCAGCGTTTCTCCCCCATCCCCTTCCACCCCGGTGCTTCCACCTTGCTATGTGCCTAAAAGCAATGGAGCCAGCAGACCATAGGCTGAACTCTGGAACTGTGAGCTAAAATAAATCTTTACTCCTTTTATGATGTTTTCTCTGGTATTTTACCACAGGGACAAAAAGCGACTAACATACAAAGGAAGAGAGAAGCAACATTAACTGAAACGAGGACAAGAGGATCAAAAGGAAAATGATACAAATGGCTGGGCTTGATATTAAGAAAACACTAGCCTGGGTTGTAGGAAAAGATACAAAGTTCTGCGTGTCACAGAACTCTGGTTTCTAGCCCTCCCCTAACTTTGGGTTATGTTTCCCGTACTTTCCCACTTCAAAGGTCTTATCACACTAATTTTAAGTGCCTGCTTTCTTGCCTCAATCCTCTAACAGACTGTGAGGTCTGGGTATACAAAGACATTGGTCTGTGAATACAAAGACATCATATGCGTTGTCCACCTACTGTTTCCACAGCTGGCAAATTAAAGGCATGTGTTTGTTTTATGTTACTAGGGACAGAGCCCAGGGTTGTCACACATGCTAGGAGGACATACTACCAGTGAGCTACATCCTCAGGGTCTAGATCATTTATTTAAATTGCACACAGTAAGTATGCTATTGTGGTAGTGAAAACTGTTGAATGAATCAAAGGAGTGGGAGTTAAAGTTAAAAAGCATCGGCACCTAGGTCACCTGGTGAGGTGATATATTCAAGGACATAAACGTGATTCGTTCTTGAGACAAGGAAAAGCGGAACTGAAAAGTGATGAGTGCACTTAGGTGCAATGTATTTAGGGAAAGAGAATCTACTTCCCTACACTCTGACAAGCACTACAAGTTACACCAAGCACTGGGGACTAGGATTCCTGTGAATTCACCCACAAGGCAAAACCTGAGACTGCAGGATCTCCCAGGGAAAGGAACAAACAAATAAGCATTTACTGATAGTGGCACTAAAGCCACATAGGAGTTTATGTATTTTATCTATTCTAAACAAACAAAAAAGACATAAAAATTATGTTCTAAAACTTATTCTTGCAAATAGAAAAGAAATAAGAAAAACAAACAGTATTTCAATGGAACCCCATTGTATGTATCTCCATTATACAGGTGAAGTGAACCCAGCCACACATGTCCCCTCAGAAATACCCTATACTAAAATATAGAGGGTCCTGCTCTGTGATGCCAGAAATGGATCCAGGACTGGAGGAAGTGATGTTAAATTAGTATTCCTTTTTCTTTCATAGGTCTCAGCTCTGAAGTTCTTCCTAGACTATGAGGTATTGTGCTGGATGAATAGAATTTTATTTCATGTACTACCCAAGATAAAAAACAAACAAACAGGGCTGGAGACATGGCTCAATGGTTAAGGGCACTGGCTGCTCTTCCAGAAGACCCAGGTTCGATTCCCAGCACTCACATGGTGACTAACAACCGTCTATAACTCTAGTTCCAGGGGATGTGAAACCCTCTACTGGCCTCCATGGACTTTGCCTGACATGGGTGCACTTACATACAGGCAGACAAAACACTCATACACATATAATAAAAACAAATAAAACAAACAAAGAAAAGCAACCCCCCCAACCAAACTCCAAAACCAATAAATGATTTTAATTCAGAAGAAAAACCTGGGTGTATATGAATTAATAGGAAAGGCATGCCAAGACCAGTATGAAGCTCTTAAATTATGACTGCATTCACTTCCCATGTAGGATCTGACCCTCACACTCATGAAGCACATGCTCACAAGCACCAGGAGTGGTCAGTGGAAAAGATTTTACTTTCTAAATCACCATCTGCTAAGGTAGAAGTATCCTCACAGGAAGTCTAAAGTAGGGGCATCATTTCAAATCATTCCTACTACAAAACTGCTGTGGGTACACACAGAGCATGTTCCCTATGGGGCTCCGGGTCATTCTGCCACCCACACTGGGGAGGATCAAAGGTTTCTTCTTGACTGCAGAAGAACACAACTTAATCACAGTCTTGCCCTGTAGCCTCCTTCCACAACTAGGTATAACCTTACAACATTTTGGCTGCTTTATGTTTAGAACACATAATTTACATTGTAGGCAATTTAGGGACATAAACAGGTTAACTCATAAATATGCCTCAGCAAAAGGTGGAATTTACTGTAATTGGTGAAATACATTTATATGTGCAGAAATAGAGGACTATAGTTTGTTTTCAATGGTTCTTGGTAATAATCAAGTCAGTCAAGGTAAGCATCTACAGGACAATCTTTAGCTCACAGGGGCTTTGGAATGGCGAGAACTACAATCAGAGAGGGTTTTCATGGGGCAGGCATGTATTACACAGCTTACATATATCATTAGTGAACCTCAAGTCATCTCTGGAAGAAAGGTATAAATAGTCTCATTTTATAAATGAGAATACTAAGACGTCATTTTCTAAAGACACACCTGGAATGTGGCTCAGTGGTTATTCTAGAGTTCCTTTGACTTGTAAGTCTACCTTTTCTCCCACTCTACCTACAATCCTAGCAAAAGAATGTTGGTGAAATGTGAAGTCGGGTACCAGTTGCTGTACTGTCCATGGATGTGATTCACAACTTCATGGACTCCTTTATCCCCTTTTCATTTCTGATTCATTTGGTTTTGTGGGTCTCACTGTGCAACCTCGGCCTGGCTGCCTCGGCCTCCAGAGTGCTGGGAGCATGGCCATGTGGCATCAGCCCTGGCTCATGGACTTATCATCTATAACAGATGACTGCATATGGCTACTTTTGGATTAGAGTGCTAGCACTGAACACTTTCCATATTAATTTATGGTTGATGTAGCAGCAGCTTTCAGTCTGTAAAGAGATCGTAAGAAAGATCTAAGTTGTGAATCAGATACAGAGAAGTCCAACAAATAAAACAAGATGCTAACTGAATGGGGAAAACATTAAGCTATGCCATGATGCCAGAGCAGAGGGCTGCTGTGGGACTGCCGTAAGTGCTGTGAAAGAACACTCAGTAGGATGCTCTCTCTCTCTCTCTCTCTCTCACACACACACACACGTGTAAGACCACTGCTA